CGGGTCCCCTTCCTTCCTTTGCGATGCTTAATCATCAGAAAGGTGTTCTCCGGTCCAGGAGCATTTTGGAGTGCAACCGCTAGTGCCTATTGCTCGCATTCCGGTCCTTGCTTTAGGCACACGTTCAATGCACAGTTCAAGAGCAGTTTATCTTAGCTTAATGTAAGTAAAAGTATAGTGTCGGATCAGTGTACCATTTGTTTCAGTTTTCTTCAGGAGGGGGAGGGAAATAAAGTAAAAAAAAAAAAAAAAAAAAAAAGGTGCTGTAATAGATTTAACTCTTGTCAAAGGAGGGGAATTGTTTCGCAGCTCTCGAACACAGCCCTTTGGGCAGCTCCACGTTCCCCTTCGGAAAGGACCGTACAAGTAGGCAAGACGTGAAGTTTATCTTTGCGTCGAGATTATTTCGAGCTCTTTTAGAAGAAGAAACGGCTGCGGGTTGTGCTGGGAGCTGGGCACGGGAGCACCGAGGCTCAGCCCTATCAGCCCCCTTTGCAGACGAACGCCTTCGCTCAGCATCCCCGGCTCGGGCTGCCTTTACTTACTTCGGTATTAGTTCTCAATTACGTGCAGCGTAAACCGGCTTTTTGATTAACAGAACAGCAGAGCATTGGTTAAGAACACTTAAACTTCAAAAAAAAAAAAAAGAAAAAAATCCCCCTGGGAAGTGGGCTCTGAATTGGTTAATAATGTGCAGTACTTGCTAAATTGCTGACTTCCAGATGTGGAAAATATCTTTCTTGTTTAGGACCTACGTAACCTGATTGGATTACGACAGAAGCGTCACATTGGAAGGCTTTTGAGTGATGATTTAATTAACCATACAGTAGAAAGCTGTATTTGCCAGGAAACCCCTTCCATATTTGCATAACCAATCCCTTCAGTGCAAAGGTGGAGTCTGGGTTTCTTTTTTTTTTTTTTTCCCCCCTTTTTCTTTTTTTTTTCCTATATGTAATTTTATTTTAATTTTAATACTTGAAAAAGGTGAAAAACTTGTAACCTCCCTGAAGTTCGGTCCCACGCGTTACTCGTCCGCGCTGTCCCTCTGCCCGTCCAGCCACTTCCAAGGGAGAGCAGAGCCAGGAAGAGCCCATCTCACCCCTGATCCATATCTGTGAACAAAACAGATAGACTGTAAGATCTCAGCACGGGTGGTGTTTGGGTTTTTTGTTTGTTTTTTGGTTTTTTTCCATCAGATTTAGCTGACTATTCAAATAACCTGGATGTGTGCTGAAATGAAAGGGGGGGGGGGGGGGGAAACGCCCAAAA